GATCCATATTCTAAAACAAACAATATGTTTCAAATATGATTTCTCTTACAAAAAGCATGAGGGATTACAGAAGCGTTTCCAGAAGTACTACCTATGGGGGGGGGGGGGTTGGATATAAGCATCAGGCTTGGTTGGAACTACACAGACATATTAAATCTTATCTTCAAAATTATGAACTTCGTATTACTCTCAACCTATTTCATGTTTAGATGACTCTTTCTTCAAAGCTGTATAAAATACTTTTCTGCCTTGGTTGATTTTTCGCCAATATACTGTTGTAAAGTGACTAAAATTGAACCAATGTGCTTTCGAGACAAGTTCCAAGTTGATGTCTGTCTGTCTGCCTGTATTTCAATAAAAATAAAGCCTTGTTTGAGCTTACGATGGAATCATATCATAAACAAGCCAACTAATTAGTAAATTCTTTCGTTGTATCAGGCACCTATTTTATCTGTACTTTTAACGAAATAGACATTGAAAGAAAGTCGTCAGACGAGGTACAATATCAGACTACGTAAAATGTTTCTTTCATAATAAGGTCAGTAAATTGAAAAAAAAACTACTCACTGGTCTTAGGTAAAGGAGATAAGTCAGTTGATAAGCTTGTGAACTATTGTCGACTAAAATGGCTAGAACATGTGCTAAACATGTTTAATCGTTTTCTGTACAAACGCATTAAGTCAGACGAAAATTAAAAAAGTGCTATCATTCCATTAACTCCCTGACTATCGATTCTGAGCAGCGTATGGAAATGTAAACATGAAAACTGTCGTGTCCTTAGCCAGAGGGAATGAGAGTCATAACCATTAAATTATGAATGTCCTTCTTGTGTCTACCTTTGTTCTCATTCTTCAACATTCTCATCACGTCGTCTACGCTTCTAAGGTCTTGTACACTTCCCAATTATTTTGCCAAAAACAAATAATTATGTGTAGCATGAAGTGATTTTAAAGGTTACTCTAGCAACTTCTGAGATATCCAACATGCTCCTTTATTTTACGAAAAATTACCAAAACCTGACCGGTTATTTCATTAGTTGTCAGAATGGCCTTTAAAGTCGCCCTTTGTACGGGCTAGCCGTCCGTCTTCCTCCTGATTCAGATGGTGTAATATTAGTGGCTGTAGGGGAATAATAATACTTGGGACCAGTGTAGGACATTTTCCTCAATCAATTAATCACGGAAAACGGTAGGAAACCCAAACCAAAGTTAAGACCAGAACATCGGCCAGACTCATCAACCTAGAAATATCAATAAAACCCGCACCGATGATTGAAAACTATAAGTGATATACCTAAGAATCGATTGGTGATGCAGTTGCGTCCACACTTTGCTTTCATCTTAGCTGTTATATCACGTTTCATTATTCGCTCTAATCCCTCTTTTGTCTCATAAATCCATGCATTTTGTTCATATCATTCCCATTTATTCGACTTCCATTTCTCAGGCTTGTGTACTTGATGTGGTGATATGAGACATGGCTACTTGGATCGTCATGTAGCGACGGCCCATTTCATGTTCATGTCTGACTGATTAACTTACAGATCAGTATCCTTTTCGATACTCCCTACGATACATTTAACAAAACGACTAGTCAATGGATTCACAAGCTTGAACTTTGCAGCTGTATGCTGCATATTTTTGCTGACCATGAAAAATGAGTTTATACTTCAGTATTACACCCGTATAAGAGAATACATGAGTTCGTCAAATAATTCCATATGACTAGTCAAAGTCTCGTCTAGTTCTTTCTGATTGACAATTTGAAGACTGTTATATCATACGATTTGACCTAGTTATTACGATGATCAGTTAGGATGCCGTATTAGCATCCGATCACTCCCAATAAATATTAAGTCCTGAGTCTCTGAACAGTATGCTATTTGTCTATTCAGTCATGAAAAAAGTTAAACGCTACAATATCAATTTACATCCGTTTGCTATGGATAATAACGTACTAGTGTATTTAGCTGAATGAGACCTTAGTTTGAAAGTGAATAAGAACATCGACAATGCGATCTACGTATGTCAAGTTAACCTGTTCTAAATTGGACGGAACAATGAATCTAGGTTCATAAAGTCGAAGCAGTTGGATCTTTTTGCAGAAGCGTGTGTAGAAGATGAAAAATCTGCATGTCACTGCAAGCATGCTTTTAGTTCTACACCTATACGGTAAAAAGAAATTTAGTGAAAGGTTTGACAGTCAGAGCAAGGGAAATCTGTTCTGACGACACTTTATACAGTGAGTTACATTCCTATGTCGAATTCACTAATTGAAATAAGGTTATCCTCACAATTTTATAAAAAAGCATATGAACAGATCGGGGGGAAGAGTTGAAGCAGTAACTGTTCGAAAGAAACCACTATTCATAGAGCCACAATTTGATGGAGATAAACTTCGTGAAATACTATTTCACAGACTATTAAGGATCATTAAAAGAATTTATTATGCAGCTAATCTCTGCTTATCGTTTTCTAGTCGACAGTTTGTTTCTTGTCAAACAAAGGACAAGTTACCTAGTTTCGCTACTTCTATGTATATTAACTAATTTAACTGCTCCTTTGGAGATAGTTATATCGGGTGTACGACTAGACAACTTAACCAATGTATTACCAAACGCTTACCTTCGTACCTGAGAAAAGTACAGGTTAAACGTGAAAGAACTTCTGTTTTATCGCATCTAGATGATAGTGGTGACAGAATGGATAGGACAAAAATATTCAAAGTGATTTGACGCATCCCACCAAACCTTTCCGATGGCGTTCAAGTTCCCTTTTCGCAAATAGCTAAGGCCATAGGAATTCGAATAAACAGTACGAAGCTCTGTATTCAGAAGAAATTTGTACAGCCTTTACTTCTGTATTAGCCAGGGAAAACTTAATGAATGACCTTACTTATGAATTTTACAGTGTACTTCTCCCCTCTTTACTTATTTTTGTTACCCCTTTCACCCCACCACTATGTTCACATTCACATTTTGTTTATTCACTCCCTTCATCTCCCAGTATTACATAACTTTATTATATTTTTCTAAATTTCGAAGCCTACAGACAAGGGTCTGTTTGTCTGAACACCTGATTACATTCCTGTCGTCACCCTATTATCCTTTATACAACCACTAATTTGATTATTCTTAAGTACACAGTTCGTATCCTTGTTGTCGTTGTCTCATACATTACCATGATTGGCGCACATTTTATTCAGAGTAAAACCTGATGATACCTAATTGAAAACATCACATGTCTTATTATGAAATCTAGGTTCAACGGCTAGTTCTTGCCTTATACCACTAGAAGAAGTTTTGGCATGGAACACGTATCTAACTCTCTATAGCGATTTAATCACTCAGACTGTGGGATTTATTCAAAAAAGTCAGTCCTTAGTAATGTATCAAGCTTCCGCATATTGGGAAACACGACAGATATTAGGCTTCGGAATATTTGCTACCACCTCGGAGAAGAAACTTGGAAAATTCAAAGGGACGTTAAACACCAGCTCGTTTAGAAGATAGAAGTTCGTTTTTATAGTAATGCCACAAATAATAAGCTACTGATTTCATTTCTTCTGCTAATATGATTTTAGTTACGTTGCTCCTAAATATTTGCAGGTTGATCTTACTTTTCGTTGTTATGATAGGAAACTGAAAAACAGTACGAACAAATGGGGAGTGGTAGGGTTTTTCTAGTTCTTGCGGATATTATATCAGTCAATTTGAGGTAGAATTTATACACACTTTAACGCGTACTCATGAAAAGCTAGAAAACTTGCAGTCTAACCGCTTACACCGAGGGGCAAATCTAAAAGCTACCCTAACAACTGCTTCTATATTTTATGAAAATTACCTCTCTAGCCAAAATACCGAAACCGGGTTAGCGATTAAAGCAGTTACCATGGTGGCCTTAAAAGTCGCCCACACCGAAGAATCATAAAGTTAAATATCACAGAGACAAATGCCACCCTACGGTAGAAATACAAGCCAACTGGAATAAGCAGGCTGTGATTTGATTGATTAGAGCACAGTCAAACAGTTATATTTGGACAAACCGACTAAAAGTTGCTTTCACAAGTAGCCAATCAAAATTCAGTCCTTCAATTGTGTTTTTGCTGAAAATTCAGACCAGAAAGACATAGCAAGACTGACTATGGACCGTTTAGTAATGATGATTACTCATTGTTCAGTACAGTAATGAGTATCTGCGATGAATGTTACCAGGTTAAGTAAGGGATTCAAGTTAAACGTACGTATATCGTCGATAAAGTGAAACGCCAACCTCTATTTTAACAGATTTCTATAAAAGGAAAACTCTGTTTATTTACAAGAAAATTGGTTGTACTAAAACAATTACTATATAGCCTTACTTAAATCCAGTATCAGACTAATTTTAGATTTAGTGGTGAGGCACTTGAGTTACTTTTCACTACCGATCCAGTTTTATAAAATTATACAGTTAAATATAGGTACTAAAGTTAGGTGGTCAGACACCACAGAGCACTGTAAGTGGCTTTAGCAATTACCAATCACCTTTAAATCAAGAGTGCATACTTGTCGGTGCGCATTGGAAATGACCATCTCGTAGTTTTCACCTTTGAAATTCCAACTCGCAGCTCACTGAACGCCATCAATACTTCGACTGTTTAGAAAGAATGGCTTTAACCAGTTACCCTTTGTGCCATTCATTTCTTTGAAAAACTGCGGTTTACTAGTTCATCCACTCCATCTACTGAACTTTGACCTACTGAGTAGAAAATGACATTAGTTTCCAGACAGAAGTGGGCTCATAACGTGGTACATAAGTTTGTGTACCACTGACACTGCTGCTGATGCACTCAATACTTAGATTCAGAACGTTTTGTTGATTTACTATAAACAGGTGAATGTACAACTGATGGTAAAATGTGATTAGTGCTATCAGTAGTGCTTCAGAAGATATATAAAGCATAGATCGATATATGCAAGAAGTACCTACAATGCTACACATGTCATATACTTACGAACTTACTTCGCGAATAAAAGGATCCATTTCCGCCTGAGTAAGATTACAATTGTCCACAATGATAACTGATACTCCAGAGTGCATGGATGACCAAACTAAATGAAACAAAACATGTGGAAACAAGTAAAGAAATTGAATATACCAGTGTGTAGTCAATTATGTAATACAGTGAACCCGACAAGAAAGTTTGTATTCCATTGTGTAGATTGAAGAAAACGGAGTTTTATCACCAGTCAACATCACTATATAAAGAGACAGGAATTTACTTCATTCCAACCTGAGGTTATTCAAAAAATGTATTTAATTAGAACTTCGATACATTTTACTCCCAAAGTATATTACTTCCTAACTATTATCAGTGTCACATATTGTCGTCCGACAAAACAAAGAAATATGCATGTAGTAAGTAGTGGATATTATTGGTTCAGCACGAAAATGAAACGTCCGTGATCAAATGTCAACGCCCGAAGAACACCAGAAAATAACCACAGACAAACAGACAGAATCAACGTAGAACTTTGAAAAAATATTCATCGGTTCAAGCTTACGAACTTCACAGTAGTATTCAAAAGCAGTTGGAAAGAATCAAAGTGATTTCAAAGAAGATAAAGTAGTGAGAAAGAATAGGCAATTTAAAAATGACGGCTAGTACGAATATTCAACTACTAGAAGACGTCAAAGAATGAATACATATGCACCACTGTAACTGATTTTCAGCCAAGTCACCAAGAGTTCTCAACCACTGATTCGTATCCTCTTAGGGACCCCGATCGAGTAGTCGACATCTCACCACACGACTCAGACAAATAGTAAGAAACACCACCGACCGGTGCCAGATCTTGGTATGGTCACCCCGAACACTCTTGAAACCTAATCCAATTTTACCCAGCATAGCACGTCGATACAAGGCGGTAACTCGGCATGCGAAACACATGTCAAATCATCTCAGAAGATGAAGGTTCACAGCCTCATCAATTAACTTGCCTGTCTTGCCTAGTACTCTTCGTATAACCTCAACATTGCTCATACGGTGATCCTACCAAACGCAAGCAATGCTACGAAGACAACTATGATCAAACATCTATGATCACTTCGTGTCTTCTACTTTTAACTAACATGTCTCACAGCCGAACGAAATGACAGAACCAACAGTAGTGGAGTATACTCGTCCTTTGACATATAGTTAGGTATCTCGCCAGTCGGCGCCACAGATGACTTAGAGCGGTTGATAACAGATCCTGGAGCATTATTTTACATTTGACAGGTGCTAGCGAGACGCATGCCAAACATACTTAGATTTCTGCTCAACACGTTCACAAGGCCCTGCATTTGTCAGCGTCTTCATCCAGCAGGAAAATACCATCTGTATGCTCTAAATCAATGAGACGGCCTCCAAGGAGTAGATTATCCCATGTGAGGTCTGACGTATCTCCATTAGCTCTTACACGGCTGTGAGTTCAAATAGACAGCTTTGATTAGAGTTATATATTTGCTCCGTACTTCACTTACAGTCAGACACTGCCACAACATGTCACAGTCGACAGAGTCAAATCCCGCCTTCAGGTCAAGAAATATGACAATTTTCGGCCGCCGGTAGGTATGCCTGTGTTCAAGAACCTGACGGAGGATGAGAAACTACCGCATAAGTTTTTCGACTCTGACCACTTTACGAACAGTTTAACTGAATGGTTACAGAAAGTTAGTGAAAAAACTCATACCGAACTCCAATGAGTAAAATAATACCAAGTGCTTATTATCCACTATGAAGAGAATATGCTGTGCATTTGCTGCAATAAATTTTACTACTGATTCGACTTTTTTCAAACAAATTTATCCTGTAATTCACTACTAGCAAGTGTGTGAGGATAACTATTTTGTATTTTTTACAGATCATGTCGCAAAAATATGAAAGATAGAGGACAATAAATGTTCATAAGGTAAATTATGCTAACCAGTTGTCTTAGTGAGGAAAAGACAAGTTCCAATAGTGTGCACAATTAAAATTATTCACATTATTTTCACAGCTAACAACTCAGTAGCCTAAGAAACACATAACTCCTGAACTGCTCACATGATTGTATCACCACACACTAGTGATGTTACCAGGGTAAACGTAATTACAAATTTCCAACTTTACTGAATACTTCAAAATACTATGTAGAGAAATATACACACCTGTACAAGGTATTAAAATCTCAAAGGAGTTACAAGTGCAATAACTTGTCACAAGAACTTAATGTGTGTATGTCATCCTACAGTAATAATTTCATAAATCATCAAATCCTCAATCTCCATTCAGACACAGTGGTCAACAAGTAGAAGAACCAAAAAAGATGCATTAGAAAATAATTATAATTACAGATCGATTTATTAAGTGTGCTTTAAGTTTTATTTCCTAAGTGTTGCAGTTCCAATAAATCAAACCGTCAAAAAGATATTCACAGTACTAAGCGCGAAAAACATTTTCTTAAGCAAGCGGTGAGTTATTAGTCTTAACAATATGATGAAAAAAACTAGATCAGCAGATGCCAGTGTAATTATACTACCTAGAATTGTCCGAATCAGAATAGGTGAGATGAACTTTATTTAGCTAATGTTCATATACTCGAAATTTGAGTGTCATAGCAATTCGAGTGTGCTTAGAAAATGACATACGGATGTTATTGCACATTCCTATATAACGGTTCAACTTGTCACATTTAACATCATATCAACGAAGCACATAAGATGATGGCAAGATAAGAGCAATAACACCAACTGTTGTTAGTCGGTATCCGCAGAGGAGCTGATATTAATGCGTGACGGTTCAAAGTGCCAAAACCCGTATCACTACATCAAGATACAAGGCGAAGAAAACACAAGGAAATAGAATATGATCGAAATTAGCATAAAGCCACCAGACGAAAGAAGAGGGATTAGAGCGAATAATGAAGTGTGACTTAACAGCTAAGACAGAGAAGTGTGGATGCAACTACACCACCAATCGATCCTGAACCATATCACTTACAGTTTTCAGTCATCGGTGTTGGTTTTCATGTGGACCTCAGTTTGGAAGTTTGCATTTCCTTATGCAGCTCAGAATCAATAATCACAGAATTGATAGAGTGATGCTACTTTTATGTCTGCTAACACCAAGCTGCTTTCCGATGCCGACTTGAATTAGTATAAAACTTGGAATAAGCATCGATTCATCATGAATAACATGTTTCTTAGTCACCTCAGTTGATGAAGGTGTACAGCCTAATCAAGCAATTTGTATCCATTGTCGATGACTCCAGAAGTATGAAAGAATTCAACTATAAACCTCATTCAACATTATAAAACATATGAAAAGTAGAAATAATTTAACACTACTTAAGCTTCATCAGATTAAATGTTTTTGTCGACCTCATCAGAAAATAGCTGTGTGAATGTATGCATCCGCCCATTACAAAACCATACAAACTTAGGTTAGCTATACAGGAGAGGGCGGTTTCTTTTACAAATTGCTGTACCAGTATCTGTTCACAATAGACCTTACACATCTATTCGAAAACAAAACAAAACATGAAAGCCTCGTCAATTTTAAGATTTTTTTAAACTTTCAAGAAACAATGTAAGTCGAAAGAAAGAGAGAGGGAGAGAATTGATACATACGAGAAATAAGGCAGTATGAAATTGTCAACCTGGCCACCACGAACTGTAGTGCTCCATAAAGGTTATCTACAATGATCATAGGTTAATATTCCACAAAGCAGTTGCTATTTTGCAAACAAAAAGAAAGCATCGCCACATAACTTTATTCATAAATTTATCTTTGACTTATTGCCTAAGTTATTGTATCATTTATTACCAAACATAGTCAAGTATAATATCAATAACTAGATTAAATTAATATTGATAATTTATTCACATTGATAATAATTATGTGTAAAATATATATTAAATATCATTCTTTGATTGTCATTAGTGAGAAGACTGCTTGTTTAAAAGTCCAGGTTACAATACATTGGTAGTTTGTGACTCAAATTTATGGCTATATGATTTAATGTTAGAGATTACACGGACAATGATCAACTGTTCTTTGTACAGTCGACCGGAGGTCGATGAACAATAACAGCGACTAGTCATCTGCGTAATTTGCGGTTAGATGAAGATATCAATTGTGTGATTTCGTCACATTTGTGCGCGAAACGAAAATCGAACAAGGTCATATGGACTCAGGTATAATAGCCGCACATTGATAGTGATTAGTGGCTTATTTGAACAACTTGGTTTGCTGTCTCATTGCACAACTTGTTAAACACTCTTCTTCTGATGTTGTGGCTTTCGATAACTTTTCATTGAATGATTTTTATGTATTTGATCTTCTTGACTGATGTAAGCTGAGGTGTGTTTGACCTCTATGCTATAATTTCAAGTCCTCAAATGATACTAGTTCGACCATTTCCATAAGTATACCGCTGTTGACGAAATAGCAGCCCGACGTAAAAGATGATTGCACGATGCTTGAGTTGCTTTGATCTGATCACTTAGTAAAAGAGAATAGTTCACTAGTTATGCTGCTCAGATGCATATTTCGTTAGTGGAGCTATATCTCAATCGCTTAAGGAGATGACTACCAACCACTGGGTCACCGGTTCGAGTCTCGCCCCGCCTACCGAGATTAAGGCAGCCACATAGTATAACCAGCCCTCACAAAATAGGTCTGACTCACTGCCTACTAGGTAGATGTGCACAAGGTGGCTGAGTGAGCTTCATTCGTCTCATACTTCATCAGGTCGCAACGCTTCTGAGTAAATTAGTTAACAACAGCTGTCTAAAATGAGTTCCTCCCGCATGGAAACTATGCGAACATAACGTTTAGCTGGTGAATATGAAATACAATGAACTGTTGGTATACAAATTGCGAATAGTTCAGTCAGTAAAAGTTAAAAATAAACAGTATCTTCGATGGATAAATATGAAAATACAATTCATGATGAATAAAAAGCTTATATCGTAACTGTAGCACACATCCCCAACATAGTTGTAAAGTTTGAGCATTATAAATCTGTTAGGCTTACTCAACCCGATAATATTGCTTTAAACAATTAGCATTTGTGGGGTTTTATGG